ATTTTGAAAGTAAGAGATGAGCCAATTGTGACTCTTCTTGAATATTTTAGAAAAAAGTTAATGCAGCGACTAACATTGAAGAGACAAGGCATGGAGAAATATGGAGGCAAGTTTTGTCCAAACATTGTTGAGAAGTTAGCCAAGAGTGTAGAGAGAAGCAAGCATTGTATTGTTGTATTTGATGGTATTGACTCATTTGAGGTTGATGGTTTCAACAAGACCTCTATTGTGAATTTGCAACATAGAACCTATTCATGTGGTGCATTCCGACTAATTGGAATCCCATGTGTGCATGCAATTTTTGCCATTCAAAGCATGCAAATGAAGTTTGACGACTATATTGATAAGTGTTAGAGTAAGTAGGCATACTTGAGGGCATATGCTTATAGAATTGGAGCTGCTCCTCCCAAAGAACACTGGATTCATAGTGGAATGCAGTTGTTGAATCGACCATTTGTGAAGAAGCAACCTAGGAGACCTAAAAAATTTAGGAGAAAAGGTCCTAATGAATTGAGAAATACATAAAAAGCTTCTAGAAAGGGCTTGACAATATACTATAAGAGTTACTTAAAAGCTGGTCATCATAGGAGAACTTGTAAGAAACCTCCCCACCCTAAGTCCAAGTTGTACAAGGTACATTTAAGTACATAAATTTTCAGCACTATGTACTACTGATTGTAAAAGTAAATCTTGTATATTTACTCCAGTAGTAAATTTTCTATTTTGTTATAGGCTCAAGCAAGCAATAACCAACTAGGGGCAACAACAACATCCACTTCAACCCCAACCACAATAGCACCGGTCCATCAAGTATCTTAGCAAAGCAGCACTATTGCAGTTAGTGATAACAACCCCAATCCTAGGTCCAAAAGATCTAATTAGCATTGGGAATTTATGGATGTTTTTAGGATTTGTGTCGATGTAAACAGGTTGTAATGGCATATATGCTATTTTTTGGTCATGCCATATATCTTGGATTAACATGTTTTGTAAGTAATGTTATTTTCTTGCTTTAATATTAGTGGGATTGTTGCTAGTTATGGCAAGCTATTTCTAGTGACATTATTGGCATTGTTGCTCTTTTTCATGATGCCATATATCGGATTGTGGCTATCATATTATGACTATGAAATTTACTAATCATGAGTAAACAAGTTGTATACCTATTATCTTTCTTTCATTAAGGAATACAAATCTTGACAAAAATTGAATTTTTTTTCATAAACCAAAACCATTACATTATATGGTACATCATTTGTTGCCACTAACCAAATTACTATCTTCTATAAGCAGTAATAACTAGAAATAAACAACAATCAAAAAAGGACAAAATCATTATCACTTTCAACATCCCCATCGTCCCTTCAACCATACTCAACTTTGCGTGCAGCCCTAACAAAACCTCACCATTGTTCACAGCCAGTATACCTTCATTACTCTTCACTCTCGAAGGGGACCCACAACTTTCTTCTACTTGTTTCTGGACTTTGATTAGTAGATTCATTGCAAATTTCTTCCTTTCTTATAGGATTCATTGCAAATTTCTTCCTTTCTTATAGGATTGCACCATGCTCAAAAGAAGCAAGATTCATTTTCACACACGTAGTACAGCCTACATTGTGTGGGTTTGTTCGATTCCACTATCTTGATTTTTGCTCTTTTCTTACAGAAACGCCAACACCATTCGTACCTCAGATCTGTCAAACCTCCTCCAAAAGTTGTAGAAGTGGATATGGCGACTTTTGATTCTCCCTAAGATCCGTCAATCCTCCTCCATTTTTTGCTCTTAATTTTTCTTCCTTTTTCCTTTCACTCCTGGATGGCTTCAAATGTCTTCTGTCCTAAAGTCACTTCTATGTGGCAACTCAAGGGTAGTTTGAGAATGAAACTCAAGGTTTTTCCAAATGAAACTTACGTACCCATCACCACTAGGTTTCACTCCTGGTTCAAGTCAATTTCTACTTTAGTTATGAAGTTCAGGGTGTTTATGTGGAGATATCTAAACGATAGGGAGGTAAGGTGTCTTTTAGTGAAATCACAAGGGGGTTTCGTGTATTTTACCCTTTGATTAATAATTTGTCCCTTCATAAGCTTGATTTCTTTCTAAATTCGTTATCTATTATGGAAATATTTGAGCTATTATTTTAAGTACCAAGGATCCAATGTACTATCCTGTCCAAGTTATAATCCCAAACTAGATTTCTAAATGGTTTTTTTTAGTAATTTTGCATATTAACATTTTCTATCTACTTTGCAACTTATAACATTTATTTCATTGATTTTTCAACTAATCAAGAAGTGGTAATCATGAGTAAAAGATTTTGATGGTTTTGGACTAAACAAAAAGTAGTATGGAGGCCACTTATATTTCTCTCTACGGTGGAAACAATCTACAATCCATTACTATTGAAAGCCGACAAAGTGAGAAAATTATAAGACAAAATATCATCTAACCAAATATCACTAATCTGAATAATAATAATATTTATTATTATTATTATTATTATTGTATCACTACTTTTAGATGAAAAGGTGCATTAAGATATACATGGTCAACAGTAGAATTGGTAACTGATAATAGCACATAGAACAATAAGAATAAAGAATGGAATCAAAATAATTCTAAAACAATTAGGAAATAAGCCTAAACTAATTAATAATTCAAGAATATACTAAAAATGTACTATCATGCACTTTTATTTGGTTCTTACATGTTCATATCCTTTCTAAATTTAATCATGTAATTGGATATTCTATACTTGTAAAGAAAGAAAATACATGAAGGTACCAATTTGAAACTAATATGTACTATTAATAGCTCCTGAGCGTGAAAATAGAATTTAGCAAAACCTATGATATGTAGACTTTCTTCATTAATTTTGTGGCAAAAATTTTAATCCATAGATCGTATTTATGTGCTTTTTAATGGTAATAATTAAGATTAACTACTCAATTGGTAATGGTAGGAAAAATAATGATATCATGATATTGAATTGTTACCAAAACAAAAAAAGTGATATTGGGCTGTTAACTTAAATATCATAGCCCAGCCTGCAATATAGTCAAAGCTTTGAACAGAGTAGTGTTAATAGAATTAACTAAGTAATATTTGTTTGCACCTTTTCTTTATCATACATAAGCTTATTACTGATCATCAATGTAGATGTCGTGCAATCTCTTGATTTTAGTCCGCCGCCCACTGAGTACTTCAATTGTCTAAAGTTTCAAAACATTATTCGAATTTCTGCCCTAACGTCTCTTGTGGGGTGTTTCAATGTTTTTTGCCTTTTATCTACATAAAGTAGGCAGCCATTCTCTTACTATTTATTTAGTGACAATATGCTCTTATGTGAGAGTTATTTGTTGTGTAATGTATACAATAAGAATAGATAGGTACAGTGGAATACCCATTGGATACAAAATTTTAGTGAACCTTTATTCTTGAGAAGAACATAGTGTGCCGATCCCTGAATCTTCATAAAGTATTTATGAATAACAGACATATTCTATAATTTAAAAAATGAAAGTGCATTATATATTAAAAGAATAGACTATTTTGTCAAATGTGGTCCAACGTAATTGGCCTAAATCATTACTTGCAAAGAATTGTTTCAACGTCATTTCTATTTTAGATTGAAAATGTACCTTTTATTAGGTTATTTTCTTGATTGCAAGAATAACTTTCTCCTTCTTTTAGTTTTACATTTTTTCCATGGAAAAAAAAGTCAAGAATTATCTTGATAAAAAACCAAAAGAGTACAAGTAATTAGCAAAGCACAATTTGGCCCAAAGACACGGAAGGTTGGAACCATTAAGGTAATTTTGATTAAGATTAGCTTTATTTGGAAGTTTAGAGTTTTGGTGTAGTGATGCAAATATAATACTATCTGCATTTACATACTCCTATTTGAAAATTTTTTACTTTCTTTATTTCAAGAAGTTAATAGTTATCCATGAATCATAACTTAAAAACTTTAGTAGGGAAAAAATTTTAATCCAGTAAGGTTTTCAAATAGTTTGTAAAACATATCATATATACTGAATGAAAAGGTCAAAAACATGATAATTTAAATCTAACTTTAAGGATACATGTTAAAAAAAAAAGATGAAGAGATGCAAAGTTTTCTAATAAAAAGCTATGAGTGGTGTTTAATGGATTTTAATTTCTATTGAATATAAACAAAAAAACGCATCATAAATGTAATTGCGTATATATTTGCAAGTATGGTACAATTTCATGCAGTAGGTTTATGAAAGCAAAGAAACATAATTTCATTTTAGATGACACTTAAAAATTAACATGTAGAACAGAAATAGTAAAGAAAAGTAATATAAACAAGAATTTAATAGTTAGAAAGATAAAGTAAATAGAACTAGTATTAGATCATAAGAGAATTCATTAGGTTGTAAAGTTTCTATTGTATATCTAGGTGTTATGATCATCCCATTTATCCATTAAAATTCAAAACTATATTTTTTTTTTAAGTTTCTTTTGAGGAAGAGTATTAGGGAAGTGATCTTAAAAACATACCTTTTCTTTCACATATTTTGGTTGTAAGTTGATAATAAAGATAGAAATCATAATATCAAAACTTGACTTAGTGGAATGAATACTTCTTTGCATATCCATTTTTGGACAATAATTGCCTTTCACAACATATTAATTTTTTTCACGTTAGAAAAAAATCTTATGTTCCTCCATTTCTATTTGTTCTCAAGCGATCACGTATTGAATAAGTTTTGAAACTATATAACTTAATCAGGATACATATGTGATTATATACTAACTACTATAAGCTTTTGGTCAAAGTACAAAGCCAAAACAACAAACAAAAATCACATATATTTATGTATATGCTTTTGTTCTGGAACGCTCGGATATGATTATATAATTTCTTACCAATGAATTTTCTATTGATTAACCTTTTTGTTATATCGAAAATGCACGTAAGGTAAATAGGTTTATGCATTTTTATATAAAATTACAAAAAAAAAAAATCTCAACTGGCAAGCCTAATCTATCTTTTTTCCTTTAAACCTATATGTCCAAACAAAAATTGTGATTTACAAGATACAAGCAATCAGGCTTTATACATTTCCCAACCCACCTTTTTGGATAGTGAAATTATCCCAAATAATATTTCGTTTTGTATCATAAACACATTTCCCAACCCACCTTTTTATATTCCCAACTACCTTTTTATCTCACATACATCACATCATAAAAAAAAATTACAGTAATTATTTTAAATAATATTTCAAATAATATTCTATCCAAACAAACCCCCAAAGGACAGTTTGGACAGTTTGAAAGCCACCATACCCCCAATGGAAATCTCAGGCTTTGGTCATCTCAGGCACGGAGCTGAACCAGGATCTTGTTCAGCAAAGGAATCATAGGACTTTCGAAAAGTAAAGGCAGTGAGTAAGAGCCATCGACGAGGTTCCCCACTGAGATTTGGACCTAATATCACTGCAAAGCACAAAAAGTCAAACTCAAAACAGCATGTAGCGTAGAATAAAGCTAATAGAAATGTTCAGATAATTGCAGGTCTTTCGTCATTTTAACCAAAGTGCCGAAAGAAGAACCTTAGCATTAACAAAACAATGATAAAAGCAGAGAGAACTTAAGTAGCCACTAACTACTGCAATGCTTCCAAATATCCTGCTTAGACTTGACTGTGTTGGAAGATACCCTACCAAGTGCCAAGCGTTATGCAACATCACTCTATGAACAGTACATCTTCCTTGGCTGCCTCAAACATATCTTCATGATGACAGAACATCTTTTGTTTTACATGTGGTATGTAGTAAAATAGAAATCAAAGTGGTTAAAAGTCAAAATTGAGTAGTGAAAGAAGACAAGTGCATCTAAAATTACTGGAAATTTTGAACCAAAACACAAAAGTGATGACCAACAGATGCCAAAACTCCTCAATGGACCATTGTCTTCATGGCTAGAAAAACTACCCGAGGAACAGTGAGTCAGAATACCATCATTTATCAGATTCATAGAGCAATTACTAATCAAAGGTTTCAGAGATGTAAATGCATTTTCAAGAGGCAAAAGTTCAGAGAAACTATTTCCTTCCCTTATAATCACACAATTAAAAAGAGTGAGCCAACTTTAGCAGTTCACAGAAGCAGATATGTAAAATCAACAAAAACTGGACAGCTAGTTGTTATTAAAAGTTGATGGGCTATTTGTAGGAAATGCAGGGCAAAAATTATTGAGCCATATATACAGCGAAGCTTCAAAATTCTAACCCATGTTCAGCTTGGAAAGTATTGAAGAAAGGAATGTGTCAGAATTGCTGATCTAAAGATATGTAGAAAAGGCTTCACGAATTTGCGGCATGTGATATGGAAAGTAAAATGCAAAATGCATTTTCAATAGATGAAAGGTCAGAGAAATCATTTCAACCTGATGCAATTCGTGAGTTTAAAGGGAGTGAGCTAATATTACCAATCATAACGTACAACAGATTAGCTGGTATACATGATAAACAAAGTCAAATCTTAACTTCTTCCACATTGTGACTTGACTAGTTGATTTGCTTCACTTCTGTTTTATGCCAAATTTGCTTTGGAAACCCAAAAGAACTTTGTGCATTTGGTTATCAACTACTGAAACACGATATTACCTCAAGCTTCTAATGAAGACATGTAACCGTTGCCTATTGATGGTAATGTTTATGAAGTACATTAAACTTTCAATCATGATACAGAATACCTACGAAAGACACCAAACAAAAATGAAAAGAACAACTTCATGCAATTTTTGGTTAGAAGACTACAAAGATAAGTAAAGATTTACTCAACATCATATGGACCAAGTAATTTAGAAAAACAATGAATCTTAAAGTATCAGCATCATTCTAGGCATACTACTTTAACTGCAAAAAGAGAACATGCAAACTCAGAAAATCATATTGCATGTAATGGCGCAAAGATGCAAAATTAAGAAGGGTGGTGAGCAGCTTGCAGTGGCTAACAGATATTAAGTGGTCACAAGACAGACCGACATTTTTCTGCAACTAAATTGCAGCAAACATGGGAGACAAGCAGTCTGAGACAGAAAAGCATATTGAGGTCCATAACCAGCGAATTACCACCTCATGTCATGACCCCAAAAGCTACAGCTAATTGATGGTTTGAAGGGACCACTTTCACAATGTGGATCTCAGGCTTTGGCCATCTGTGTCACTTAAAAGCATAAGAGAGTGCCATTCTAAAAGTTTGTCTCAAGTTTAAAAATGATGTGGTCCAAGAAGGAAGCAGAGGATATTCAAGGGTTGCGGCAGTAATTAAGAGGTATTGAGGTCCCCGGAGAGCTTTGAGACTAATGCTACTGCAAAACGGAGAAGTCAAACTCAGGACAGTGTATAGAAGATCATAAACCTAAAAGAAAAAATTTCAGATAACTGCATGGCATCTCTGTTCAATTAATCTGACGGAAAGCTAAAGACATGTTCTTGTCATTCTTTTCCAACCTATATCAGAGAGAAGATTTGAAATCTTTCTGCTGAGTCTACAGGTACAAGTAGTGTCATTAATGCTTTTCTAGTTTGTGTCCAGAACATTGAAAGAAAATCAGTTGAGTAATCTAAAAAGTAAAACATATAGCAGCTAACAAGCATGACTGGCATAGACAGATCAAAAATCTTCATGAAGGCGAATTCCTGGAGAGCAGCAACCCTTACGATTTGATGCTTAAAAGTTCAAATCATCACAGTTAGATTTAAATTTTAGTAAAAAAAATAATCTACGAAGTTTGTGCAGCTTCATTGCAAGAACAGCATTATTTTCCTTGGCAAACTCAAAAATGACTTGAATATTCCTTTTATTTTTCCAAATTGAGAATCAAACTGCTTAAATCTCAATATTACATAGTTGAACAAGAAAAATTGTATCATAGATAAGCACATTTCTTATAAAAAAAAATTGGTATTTTAGATTAACAGTCCCTTTACCAACACAAATTTGACAACCGAGCAGGCAGTGAGAATTTTCGATTGACCATTGTCCTCATGTGGAGACATCATAACCAGGGAAAGTTAAGTCGAACCCCGTCTCTAAGAGACATCAGAGTCAGATAGTTCAGAGCAAGATGATAAGATGTTGAGTACATTTACTAGAGGTGAAAAATAAGAGCTAGTATTTCGTCCTCACAGAATCTCACGTTTAGGAATCAATGTACAAATCACAGTAGCAGACATATGCCATGAACAAATATAAACTTCTACTCTATATTAAAAGATAGCAAAGATATCAAACTAACTACTAATAGTCTTTAGCCACCATATTGTGCTTGACTTTCCAAACCAAATAATCTGTTAAATATCTGCATTTTGTAACTGAGGAGCCAAAGGTTAAAAGTGAAGTGGAACTATATGCCAGAACCAAAATACCAAAATGCTCATCAGATGGATCCTTTACATCGGGAAGAGACCCCTGAAAAAGCCAAAATTATACCCAAAAAATTTTTTTTTATTGATGATGAATTCGGTCTCTTGAGGAGGAGCTAGTAGTATTAAATGAGAGCCATGATGTGTATTTTATGCGCTATGAGTGTGTCTTGACATTATGGTATGTGCTAGTGATTTCTTTGCTGACAGCAGTTAGAAAATTTTAAGACTGCCTAAGACGAGGAAAGTTCAGCAAAGCAGACTTCAGCCTTGAACAAACTAAAATTCAGTAGTTGCGTCATTCCTCCAGCTGCCAATTTATCTCCATGGTTAAATCAGCTTACAAGAGAATACAGTCAACAATTGAGATCTCTGAATGCAACCTACAATCAGTTTGAAGAAGCACACTGAAATCCTTTCAAATCCTTGCTATTAGGTTGGTAGACAACATCCTCGGAAGCAAACCCTTCAAACTTCCAATTTTTGTAGCTTGATCATTTTAGTTTCCATCTATATCACCTCGCATAAGGTAATAATTAGAAATCTTCATGAGGGTTTCCTTGGAGTATGTCCTCCAACAGGAAAAAAAGAAGCTACAAACTAAAAAGTCTAAATCTTTTGTCTGTGTTTGTTAATCCACAATTTTTTGTGATTGGACATGCTTTCATTTGAGGTTTTATTCCATGAATATAACACACTGTCCTGTCTTATATTCAAGCAAATCAATAAGTAAATAAATTTTCCACAGTAAATGTTGTTGTGTATACCTTAGTTTGATGAAAGCCCTCAGATTTAAAATCTCATTTAAGCTTGTTCCTGCATTAAAATTAAGACAGAACCGTAAGTTCTATTACATGTATTTGAGCTGGGAATCTTACAAAAGTGAGCATTTCTTTCTGTTACTTTTACCCTAGAGATAATGAGCAGGTAATTAAGACTTGATACAATGTAGATAAATTTATCCAGCTGTGACATGCTAACCTGGGGGTAATTCTTGAAAGTTAGCAAAACCTGCAATGGTCAATCTGCTTCTCTAGTAATGGTCATCAAACTGCTTCTCTAGTAATGGTCATCAAACTGCCAATAACGGTCATTACAAAGTCACGGTAACGATGGTTCTTTAAAAACATCAGATGAGTTGGGGCAAGAAATTTTTTCTGAGCAGCTCGTATGGCCTAGCTGACAGTCATTAAGCAATCAAAATACAGACAGAAAACTTTCTGCAATTAATTAACAGCTAGTTTCAAAGACAAGAAGCTAGGAAAAAAATAAGCAAATTCATAGTAATGTAGTAGGTAAATTCTTACTGCCGGACATCATGACTAAAAAGGCAAATTGACAGAGTGCAAGGTCTGACAATAAAGATATCAGGTGTTTGCTATATGGGGCACCAAGACAAAGGAAAAGAGTGCCGTCATAAACATTGCTGTCCAACAGAAATAGGATCCGATTCAACATGATTCTCCAAGATACTGGCTATGAAATTCAATGAGTAATTAAGAGCTAATGGAGCTTTTCCGTCAAACTTTGGGCCTAAGATCAGTGCAAAACAGAAAATTCAAACTCAGACATTATGTAGTGAACAAGAAATATAACATGACAATTCAGATAATTTTGCAAACCAATTGTTCTGTTAATCCTACGAAAACAAAGCATGGAACAGAATATGAGAAGAGTTATACTATTACACAATGCATGGAACTAAATGGTTGCTTGTTTTCATGCTAATTGATGGTTACAGAATATTACTTAGTTGTTAAAGGGTGGAAACGAAAGCACCAAAGTTTTTGACCTCTGATAAGACATGCTAATATGTGGCTTTGCAAGACGATAAATAGGACAAGAAAAAGGAAGAAAAGAAAATTATGAATAATAACCACAGGGAATTGTTTCATTTTTTTTTTTAAAGGAGAAGTGGTAGACAGAAGGCGTAGCTTGAACTGACAAAGAGATTGATTATAAGGTGAATTAGAAAGTAGGAGGTAATCCTACATGATTGAGGAGAAGAAGCACTTGAGATTGAGATATGATGTGATGATGAACTATTAACCAGTTTTAGTTAGCCATTGAATATGAGAAACTTTGGACCACTGGGAGTCAAGGCCGCTGCTCTGAGGAGTGCACCTTTCTTTAATAGTGGAGAACCACAAACAAGCAAAGATGTTAATTCTCCACAAACAAGCAGAGATGTTAATTTGGTCAGGCATCTCATGGCATCCATGGAGGGTAAACGTCGAAGCTTTTCAAAATAAAATAAACATTTTCAGAGCAAGATAATAAGATAATAACATTTTCACGAGGTGAAAGTTCAGAGCAACCATCTTGCCCTCATAGAATCTCAGGTTTAGGAATCAATGTACAACTTGCAGTAGCGACACATATGATGAGCAAATGTCAACTGCTATTCTTTATTGAAAGCTAGTGAAGGCATAAATCTGAGTGCAAATGGTCTTTAAATATACCAAAAAGGATTGATTGGATGATGAAGTCAGTCTCTCAAGGAGGAATGAATAGTGCTAAGTGTGAGCCATGATGGTGTTCTGTGTGTGACTGTGCACTGAGTGTGAGTGTGTGTGTTGTGACGTTATAGTAAGTGATAGCGTTTACTTTGCTCACTTGCAGGTTAAACGTTGTTAGACTGCCTGAGACAAGAAAAGTTCAGGAGAACAGACTTCAGCCTTCAAGAAACTAAAGTTGAACAGTTGCATCCTTTCCAAGACTACCAATTTACTTCCATGTTAAAATAGCTTACAAGATTGTACAATCAACAATTGAGATCTCTAATTGCAATCTATGACCAATCTGAAGGTGCACAACAGAATCCTCTCAAATTCTTGCCATTACATGGCTAAACAACATCCTCGGAAGCAGACCCTCTAAAACTTTCAACATTTGCTACTCAATCATTTTAGTCACAATATCTATATCACCTCATCAAAGGCAATAAATAAAAATCTTCATAAGAGTTCCGCTGGAGTATGTTCACCTACAGAAAAAAAAAGGAGAAAAAAATATATAAATTAAATAGTCTGAAATCTTTCTGTGTTAGCAAATCCACAAATTTCTGTGCTAGGACATACTTTCATTTGATGCTTTGCTTTATTCCATGAATATAACACATTATTTTTTCCTAGAAAATCAATAAGTAAAACTTTTGACGGTAAATGGTGGTGCGGTGTACCTGAGTTGGATGAGTTCAGATTTAACCATCTCAAGATAGAATGAGAAGTTCCATTACGTTTTTGAGTTGGAAATCTTGCAGAAAGTAAGAGGTTTCTTTTTGTTAGTTTTCACCATAAAAATAACGAGCAGGTAATAAGACTTGATACTATGTACAAATATTTATTTGGTTCAATTAAATGTGCTAACCTCAATGTTATTCTTGAAAGTTGGCAAAACCTCAAACAGTTAATGCGTAACTCTAGTTTGAGCTCTATTGCCAACAAAATGCCAATAATTATCATCAGAAGGTCATGCTAATGATGGTTCATAAAAGACTTCAGATAAGCTGGGGCAAGAAATTTTTGGCCAGCAGCTCATACAGGCCAGTTACAGTCACTGAGCAACCAAAATCGAGACCTACAACTGCAATTTAGTGTTAGTTTGTTTCAAAGACAAAAAGGCTGGAAAAAACAAGCAAATCCGTAGTGTTATAGCATGTTAGTTTGTACTACTGCACCTCATGACTAAAAAGGCACATTGAAAGTGTGCAAGTTCCCATGATAAGGGCATCGGCTGTTGGCTATCTGAGGCACCAAGATGAAAGAAAATAGTGCTGAAATAAACATTTCAGTCCAACTGAAACAGGATCTGGTTCAACATGATTCTCAAAGATGCAGGCTCTGTAATTAGTAATTACTAGACATTGTAGATTTCCAGTTGAGCTTTGAGCCTACGGTCACTGGAAAGTAGAAAATTCAAACTTAGACAGTATGTAGTGAACAAGAAATTTCGGATGGTTCAGTCAATCCAGTGAAAACCTAAAATCTGTGTTTTGTTGGCTTTTAAGCTAAATAAATAAGGAGTTGTGCTTACAGGTTTTCCTACTCTTAGTCTACTCATGTTCCAAGCAGGAAATAAGTCATTGCAACTCATAACTTGAAAAAATGGTGGGCAATTTGTAGCACAATCACAGCAAAAATAAGGATATTAGGTCTTGGCTATCTGAGGCACTGATACGAAAGAAAAGAGTGCCATCATAAACATTTCTGCCCAACTGAAACAGGATCTTATTCAACGTGATTGTTAAAGATACTTGCTTTGCAATTCAATGAGTAATTAATAGCCTATGGAGATTTCCAGTTAAACTTTGAGCCTAAGATCACTACAAAACAGAAAATTCGAGCTCAGACATTATGTAGTGAACAAGAGATCTAACAAGACAATTTAGATAATTTCGTGAAGCTATTCTTCTGTCAATCCTACAAAAACGAAGTGTGGAACAGAATATTAACAGAGTCATAGTAATACATCAAAGCACGGAACATGATAGGTTTCATGCTAATTGGTGGTTACAGGAGCATGATGTTGTTAGGAGTAAATGAAACGCACCAATATTTTGGGCCTGATAAGAAATGCTAATGCCGCAGCTTTGAAAGACAAGAAAAAGGACAAGAAAAAGGAAAAAGAGAAAATTGTGAAGAATAACCATGGGAACTTTTTAGTTTTTCTCACGAGAAGGTTCATTAGAGTGGGAGGTGAAGAGAAGGCAAATCTCAAAATGACAAAGAGATTAATTATAAGGCGAATTAGGAAAGTAGGTAGGAGGCAATCTTACATGATTGAATTTGATCTGAAGATGAACTGTTAACCACTTAGGCGTAGGTATTGAATGTGAGAAACTTTGGACCACTGGGAGTCGGGGCCGCTGCTTTCAGGAGTGCATCTTTCTTTTAACAGAGGAGAACCATAAACCCGCAGATCTTTTAGTTTGGTGAGACTTCTCATGGCATCCTCAGCGGGTAAATGTCCAAGCTCTTTGAAATTATATAAACGCAGTTCTTCAAGAGCAGCTAAGTTTCCGAACCAATCTGGCAGAGCTTTTATACCTCTGAAGTCAAGTAGTGCTAGTGACGTGAGAGTGGTCAAGTATTGGATCTGATGTGGCAGGGACTCCATGTGTGGCAACCCAAATAAGTCTAATCGACGGAGTCCAGATGACGAAGAATTGTAAATTGAGGAGGAGGATATCAATCCAGACCAATCAAACTCATTGTAAATTGAAGAATTTTCATGATCATCACCATCATCTGAGAAGGGACCAATTGTAAGCTCCCTTAAGCTGGTTAGGAAACCAAATCCTTTGGGCGTCATGCTTGTTTTCAGTCTGGGACAGTAGGATAATTCCAGCTCCAAGAGAGAAGGCGTTTGTTGCAAATCAAGCGGAAAGAAGATAAGATTGGAGCAACCAAACACCGTAAGCTTCTGGAGAGAGGCACAAGAGTGTAGCATGTCGCCGGGCAGATTCGTCAACCCATCACAATCATAAATCCTCAGCTCTTTAAGAGACATAAAGTTTTGCAGGGGAGGGAGTTCTCTGCATCTGTTGCAGAACTTAAACTCCAAACGCACTAACTTGGGGAGTGTTGTTGCTGTTGGCAAATCCATTAACCATCGAGGAAATTGATCGCCCATAAAATACCAAATTACCAACTCCTCCAAATTTGGGTGGGGTTGAAGGCCATCTAACGCATCTTCGTCGTTGTAGTTGTCGCTTTCTCGATCACGGGCCCACCAAAGTTCCAGCCTAAATAGATTTGCCTTTTCAAATAGTTTTGCTTCCTCAGCTCCCTCCTTATCCTTTACCCGTTGAAGATTGCGTATAGTTAACTTGCCTTTGAGGTTTTTCAAGAATCCAAGCTCTCCAATTTGTCGACCTTTCTCTTGACCCACGTTGAAGAACTCTAATGTCTGAAGGCAAGTCAGCCGTCCCATCTTTGGCGGCATTTGAAATTCTTCATCCCCTGTGTAATAGTGGAGATGTCTCAAGCTAATCAAATCGCACATCCCCTTCGGAAGATCTTTAACATCTAATTCACATAGCGTCAATGTCTGCAGATTGTAAAGCTTGCAAAGGGAGTCTGGCAAAATGCTGATGTAAGACCATGAAAGGTTAACATACCGCAAATGTATTAGTTTGCCAATTGAGACTGGTAGCTCTCGAGTTCTTGTATGAGACAAATTCAGAACATACAAATTCTTCAACTTCATTAGCATATCACCAGATAAGCTGCTGCTTCTTACAAACAATGTACGAAGCGAAGTTGATAGACTCTCAAAAAGTTTTCCAAACGAGTCTACTGCATATGAGTCCATTGCAAGTTCATGAACCAGATTACTGGTAGACCTTGACATTGACTGTGCAAATTGGTGTAGTAAATCATGCATCCTATAATATGTTCCCCCAAAATCATATCTTATTTCTTCAATCAACGAACTCTGCAATAAAATTCTCAGATAATTCATTCCAATTTCCTCCATCATCATTTGGCTGCTGATGTCTGCTTGGAGGAAACCTTCTGCCATCCAAAGTTCGATTAGCATATCTCCTTTCATCTCAGTGTTCTCAGGAAATAGAGAACAATATGCAAAACATTTCTTAATGTATGGAGATGGCAAATTATCAAAACTAAACTTAAGTATTTGCATCACATGATCTCCACCTGCACTCAAACTCAAAAGCCTATTCTCCAAAATCGACTCCCACTCCTCTTTTCTCTTTAAAGATAATAGACCTCCGATTACACTTGCAGCCAATGGTAGACCATCACATCTTTTGATTACTGTCTCTTGAATTGCTTTTAGTTCATCAGGTTCTTCTTCCCCTCCAAGTACTTTTTCTTTTACGATAGACCAACAATGATAGTCAGGTAGTTTTCCTAATGGATAGGATTCATTTTCCATCATCAAAACTCTAGACACACTATGTGCCACTGGAACTACACGAGTAGTGACCAGACACCAGCTTCCATTAGTTGGATTGAGCCCCTTCAAGGTGGTGAAAAAGTCATCCCACAATGCCTCATCATCATCCCACACATCATCAAGGACTAGGAAATATCTTTTTGCCCCTAGTTGGTTCCCAATTTTTCCAACGATGGCATTCCTATTTTCCACCTCAACCTTTTCTTCCGTCAATTGCAATAAAATGAGTTTGAAAAGCTCCATTATTGGAACTTTTTTCGATACACAAACCCAAATCTTTTGGTTAAAGTGCGCATCAATTTGCTGATTGTTGTATATCAATTTAGCCAAAGTTGTTTTGCCTAGACCTCCCATGCCAATTATGGGAAGAACAGAAACAACCTTCTTAGACGGGATCAACAATATCTTCACTATATTTGATTCATCATCTGCTCTTCCAACTATTGGAACAAGAACAGAGTCAGTCTGCCGATTTCTTGCGTCTCCAACAGCAGGAGCAGCAGGGAGGGCAGCCGTCAAGACTGGCCTTCTGACCAGTCCCAATCCATCGGCTTCTTGATTTATCTTATTCAACTCAAGGTTGATGTCCCTGACCTTGGAAGCCATTCTCCAACGAAAAGCAAGATTAATATTAGAGAAGGAGAAGAAGCGGCATACCTTGAGCTTGTGTTGGTTTCGGGACTCCACCTGGTGACGAAGAGACTCATAGCGGAGCTCATCCAACACGTTGCGAGCATCATAAGCGACCTCCTCGAGACTCTTCAACCATTCTTGCACTGCTCCGTCCTGATTTTGCTTTGCTTCAGCGTCAGCCAAGACACCAGTGATAAATTCAAGAGATCGTTTAATGCTGGCCACATCCTTCTTGAACCCAAGTAACCTGCCAATCCCATCAGAGGCAAGACACAGTGCCGCTTCCAAGGTGACCCGAATTGTTGCACCGATAACAGGGTCGGCCATTTTTTCTGCCCTGGATTCAGTGTTGAGATCAAGATGGTTTTTTCGCTGGAAGGTTTTTTGCAGCCAGGAACTGGTAATATTATCTAGGCTTAGTATAATTGGTTATGAAGAAAGGAGCATTAATAATTACTCCGCAATAGACGTGCAGTTCTTCTCTGAGAAAGCTGTCAGCTTTTGCTTTGGCATTTTACAGTAACTTTCTCAATTATTGTAGTTGTTGGGGGATCATGTTCTCTGGTTGAATGCTGGGGCCTCCAGCATTATCTTTTGTTGTAGACTTTTGCCCACAATCAAATTGTAAAAAGGAGAGCGAGAAACATATTTGCTGTTTTGGTCCCATGATTGTTAACCCTTGGAAGATGAATTTAATACATAATTTGGTCTGAATCTTGTTTGGTTTTAGAAAGTGACCGCACTGATTTAGTAAAATCTAAATTTCATTCCAGATTCTATTTACATCCATGTATATATAATTAAATTATATATATTAATAAATTTATAAAATATTATAATATTCTATGGTCATGAATCAAATACAGTTAAACTTCATGATTGTTTTCTTTTTTCAACCTAATCCTAGTTGTCATTGTAATTAGTACGTACAGGTGAAGTTTGAAAAATAAATAGAAGCCATCAATAATAGTTAATTTTTTGAGTTCATAATATTGTATTCCACGTCTTGAATATTAATTTTATTATTTGAAAATAAAATTGAATGGTGTTTAAATTTTTTTAAAATCTATATATTTTTATTTTTGTATGTTTAGAAAAATACAATGAATACACATTGGATTTATACCCCATACAAGTTTGGATCTCGATCTGGGTTTAATTAAATTTAATGAATCTGAATTTGGATTAAAGGGATCGAGTCCAAACCCTATCCATTGACATGCTTGACGGAGGTCAAGGGAAGGTGAGGGCATTATTTTTCCCTGTCTTAAAATGATACTTCCCCATCCCATCCTCCGCTCCGTTTCCTGCAAAAATAAAATAAATATAAAAAATTATATATGTAATATTATAGCTTAATTAGTAATAGACAGAGAACGCAAGACACAATTCTAATAATTTCTTGGAGGATATGATTTCAATTTTCAACTTATCATTAAACTAATCAACCAATGCACACACTGCAGGTAGATTTATATGAATGAATGAAAAACCTATATTACTAGATAATAATGTCTCTTGCGGAACTCAACATACTTGGGATTATATCTCTTGCTGGATAAGAGGAAGATAGTTGAGATAGGAGAATAGTATGATGAAGAGAGACCGGGAAAGCTGGGGTTGTGGGTGAATCTCCCTACTTATAGTGTCATAAAACTTAATATATATCTACCTATATCATAAATTGAATAATGTGATATTTTGTTGTGAGAAAATGATCCATTGTTATCATCAATTTATTACGATAAAATAGTTATTTCTTCTATCAGCTTACTTTTATTTTTTACATATTGTATGTTGTTTATAAAGAAAAATAGCAATCAATTTAGATTTTATGTAATATCAAATATGGATAAATGAATTCAAAAGATCAAAGCAAAATTTAATATTATTTCACATTCAAATTTTTTTTACTAAAAATTAAAAGAATGATTAGTTAAATCATTATTAGCTTTATATATATATATATATATATATATATATATATATATATATATATATATGATAAAGCATAAAAATTATACAGGAGCCCCTGAGAAGTCACTGGCGTATACTGTTGCTACTTCACCAGTACTCGTAGGACTGTCAGGAGTCGCATACGAGCCAAGCAGATTAGGGGCAAGAGCGGTCATCAGATCAACCGCTCCTGAACGGTTTCCTCACAAGCACAAACGTGAGGCGAAAAATGATCCATATCAAGAAGCCCTATGTGGAGGTAAAAAATGATGGCGTCTAAAAAAAAATTTTGTAGCTCAAACGGTATCAAACAGAGCAAACGGAAGAGTTGAAATTTTGAAAGTTGAAAATTTGAAGTAGCCGCACAAAACAAAATTGAGGGAAGAGAACTTGAATTAGCCACACAAAACAAAACTGAGGGAAGAGAGTAGGCGTCCCGCTGAAGGTAGCAATTAACAGAAAACTGAGTGGAGAGAGTTGGGGTATGGTATTGCGTGAATAAGAAAGGAAGTAAACATCATGCAGTGAGAGTGTTGTATGCATTTTGAAGCTGAGCATGAGAGTGTTGTATCCATTTTGAATGCGTGCAAGACAGGCGGCAAGATAAAAGCAAACAAAGAAAATTCATCATCTCACGAACTTGGTTTAGTCGTGCAACTTAATAGTAGAAGCAACTGCGCTTTCTGAGTTCGGTGAAACATAAAGCGTATTAGCAGACCAAGGTAACGTGACTGAATCATATCAACAACTGTGGCCAATCATTTGTCTGGCACATCGGTTAAATAAAGGATGAAATTAGAGTCGCTAAAAACATAATATTGGTTGTAAAGAATAGTGAAGTTGTACCATATGTGTATGTGTGCGAGCATTTAACTTTTCAGTGATGGACTGTAATAAGATAGTCATTATCCGAAGACCCAGGGGTATGTATTGAAATAAAGCGTAGAGTGGAATTAGGGAAAGATGAGAGAAACAAAATCACATTTAACAAGTGAATGAATGTACATCATGTTGTAAATAAGTTACAGGTTATGGCCACCACATTACAATTGGTATGAATCATTGTGCATCCAATAGTTGATCCATGCTCATCACACAATCTTAGTTTGCCCCTCTTTGGACCATGCAGTGTGTATAAAATGAAGGTGTAGAGTTGAATGAAGTGAAGCAGAGGAAAAGAGGCAATTAGATGTAAATAATAAATGGGTGTACCTGGTATTGTAAATAAATTATGTGATGTAAGAAATATATTACAATAAGTAGAAAATACTTGTTTGACCCTCAAAATGTAGAAATAGTAGAAAATGCGGAGTTGGCTTAAGCGATTGTCATTAACGAATGACATAGGTCCAGTGAGCTAAGAAACCTAGAACCTAAATATAATCAACAGAGTGGATGTACATACAGTTAAATTAGACTTATATCGTGTGACTAACACATTACAGCCTGTATAAATTAGTGCACATGGAGTTGTATTTGTACATAGATAATGCCGTTGTTTTAAAGTAAAAGTAAAAGTGATGTAAATCATTAATCATATTCATAAGCATAATCAGAGAATTTGGTATACGAGTAATGTGTGATTCATAACACATTATGAATAGTAGTTGACAGGTGCCGAACATGTGCAATAATAAATATCTACTCGAGAAAAATACAGATTTTGTATATAGCGGTGAGTAGGGTCGAATCCACAGGGACTGGGGATAATTCGTTTCTTCTAGAGTTCAAAGTATGGGGGGGGTTTTTGGATTAAATGCTAACTAAATAAATTAACTGCAGGAAATAATTAATTCCAAGAAATAATTAAGGGGAAACTCTAGCCAAGGGTACACTTCAGAAATGGTTCATGTACTGATCATTGATACAGAAATAATTCCAACATTTAGTAATAGATTAGTTATAGTTGTCATGCACGCGATAAACAACCAACCCTTCCTTAATTTCTCGATAGCTAAGGTACGACCGTTAGCTATTTCTCTAACCCAAAAACAACCCTAGGTACGACCGTAGGATTTAATTTCTAGATTGCATTAATAATTAGAAAGGCCCAATCCTAACCAACAAACACGCTACGAGGGTTTGTTTAGACTAGATCATATGCTCCCCTGACATAAACCCAATTACGCCAGTTGCTACTGAGGTAGAGATAACGAACAATTACGGATTCAATTACCCCAATTTAGCAAAAATAGCCTATATGAATAATTAATTATTGCGCACTAATCAATCATACACAAGGCCATAGCAATTAAAATCAAGGAACATATAAATACCAATAAATGAAGAAAATAATTAAAACGGATTCGATCTCACAGTAATTGTCGAACCAAATCGTCAGTTGTCCCCTTGACTAGAAATACTTAGCCACGCCTCATGAGAAAATCTCCCCGTTGGGGAATATTGTCGAATACCTGGCATGTGTCAGAGGCCAGTCAAAAGAAAGAAAACTAGAACTGAACTAAAAAACTAAAACTAAAGCCGTCTAAAAAGATCTCCCCTTTTGCTTCTGTACGTCTTCCTTAAAAAGCCAAAAGAAAGAAACCTAAAAGCTATTTCCTGTGGTCCCCACATATGTGGACAAAGCAAACAAATTACTTCTTGGTCCAAGTCTCTCTACGTTGCTTTCTTTGAAAGGCCCAAATGACTTAATGCCTTTCACTAGCTTGTGGTCCCCACCAATTCAAGAGTCCAAGGTCCTTAGAAGTCTCCATTTTTCCATAAAAGTCCCTCCTTTTTGGTAATTTTCTGCTTTGTTCCTGAAATTAAGCCTCAATATCAAATATAAGTAAATATTAATAATTAAAACAATATTTGGCAAGAATAAAAGGGGAAATTAACAATAAAATTACTAACAATTAACACCCTATCAATTCCCCCCACACCTAAATCATGCTTGCCCTCAAGTATGGGAACAACAATTGAACACCAAAATTTGACCATGGCTGTTACTCCAACTACCGTATTGCCAAGACACTAAGAAAATCATATATCAAGCGACACAGGTCAAGATCCAAGAAAAATCACCCCGGTTAGCATCTAAACTACCAACTCCTCCAATTTAAAGCAAACTAATCTAAGAAAACTGAATGGTTGCTCACATTTATCAGCAAACGGTCCAATTACTAACCAAAATCTCGACATTAAGATCACAAATAGGCAAGCTGACTTTTTTTTTTTTTAATACTAACACAAACTTTACTTTACTCTTTTCACATTCTTCCATTTTTCTTTTTTTTTCTTCTTTTTTTTTTTAATAAATGACAAAAGACTTAGTTTCTAGCCATTAGAGCCTTTTGACGCGAACTCCAACATTTGATAGATGGAGGAGCCCGGTTACTCAGCTCCAATCGCTACGGGACCACGTACTCATAGCAATTACTACCTTTTGACGCGAGAATCGACACTTTAGGTGAAGATCCTCGGTTACTCAGTAGTGATAACTAGCGGAGTACAGTCACCCCTTATTTACAATCATATAGCACGATATCTAAAAGCAACACAAGATTAACAGCAGCCAGCCTCAAATTTCTAGACAT